TTTAAAATTATTTTAATTTAAATTGAATTTTATTAATTTAATTTAATTTGATTTATCAAATTTTAAATTTTATTTTTTTGAAATTTTTTATATTGTTTTAATATAACTTCTGATATATTTAAATAAATAAAATCGAATACTTAAATTCCAAATCTATTTTTTGTAATTTTAATTTTTTCCTTTTTTTTTCTTTTTGTCCAACCCTTATTGCTGTTAAATTCACGCTCGCCCATTTCATCATCTTTCATCCACGTAAGCCTTAATTGATTGAATAGACACACAGACTGGAAAGAAATATTTGACTTAAATGATAAATTTAATTGAATTGAGGGACTTTTTATTACTTTTTTTTTTTATAAAGGCTCAAAAAGCTGACGTTGAACTCAATTTTGTTAAATATCAAACCAAATTCCTCCATGGACTACGCCAATATTGTCTGCTTCCAGAGGAAAACAACCACCTCGATTTGAAGAGTCTCGAGGAAGAAGATAAGATGCCCAAAGTTTACGGTATATAGCTTTTGGAAGATTTTTAGATAGTATTAGTATTTAAGTATTAAATTTATTTAAGATTATTACAATAATTTAATTATTTAGCTAAAAATTATTAATTTTTATTAATTAAAAATAATTATATTTGATATTATTAAAAATTAAATATTATTTTATTTAAAAATATCGAAATAATCATGTATATTGTAATAATTATATAAATTAATAATTTTAATATTATTTAAAAATAATTTGTATGTAAAATAGTAATAATATTTTATTTATTTTATAATAAATATAATTAAATTATTAAATTAAAAATATATTTATTGATAGTAAACTAGTTATTATAGCATAAATTGTGTTAAAAAAATCTAAATTAGAAAATAAAAGTAATATATTAAAGTCAAAAGATTATATTTTATATAAATTAAAAAAATCACACAAAATATTTTTTGAATTTATTACAATAAATATTAGTTTGAAAATACAAAAATTATAATATAAAATAATTATAATTAATTTTAAAAAATAAAATTTTAATTCACATATTAAATAGATAATATTAACTATTATTAATTTTATATATAATTTTTTTACATGATAAAAATTTTTTACCCATTTGAATAAAAATTAAATTATCTTCCGAAAAAATGAATTAATCACTCTTGTAATATAAAATTATAATCACATAAAATCATTAAATGATTACTAAATACTAAAATCTAACCATTCGATCCTTACCTATAAAAGTAGGTAAGGTGTATTGATGCCTTCGATGTGCAATTCCTTATAGTCTCAAATGTTAAGGACATGAACGCCCCCTCCTCTTTTATCACAAGTATGAACGACAACGGGATGCTTGTAGTGTTGTATTTATCAAACTTGGAAACATTTTGAAGAAGAGAATCATCCACACCCTCTCAATTTTGTCAGTTTTAAGCTTAACATGTCCGTTGCATCGTGTTATAGCCATCTTAATTTGAAGCTCGTGTGGTTTGGTTTACTTCTGGTTATTCAGTCTAAAATTTCCCCCAATTTGATAGACGATTTCTTATTGTCCACGCTTTTGGGATAATCTTGCTTGTAACTTGTTTTATTTTGTGGAAATGAAAAGAGACCCAATTTTGTCTCTGTGATTCTTTTATTTTTAGTAAGAGTTGTGAAATTTTAGGCCAAGCTCCATTTGAACTAGGTGCAGTCATAAAACACAATCTCGGATGCATGGAGAGGATTCCCATTTCCCAACCAATGAGTAAAGGTTGATATTTTTATTTTTATTTTTTTCTGCTTCGAAACCTCTCATTTTTATATGACTTTGGCTTTTCCTTAAACCTCCCTTTAAATGACAACCCAACAAAACAAAAATTGCGTTTCATTTGTTTCACAAGCCAATCTAAGGTGAGACAATCCTTTCTTTCTTTTTTTTTTTTTTCATGCATTGCAAAGGTCTTTAATGGTTTTTTGTTTTTAATTACTCTAGTGGGTTTTCTAAACTGTTTTAAGTGTACTTATATTAGATACAAATAATAGATAAATTATTTGATTTTTTTTATTTATTAAATAAATAAAACTTGCTTTTTCTTTTTAAGATTACTTAAGTTTTACCAAAATTTTTATTAAACCATAGATGAGATTTAATAAAAATGGTTCATCCATAAATTTTTTTAATTCTTTTGTTTGGTTTTTAAAATAAATAAAAAAATTGAAATTTCTAAGAAAAAAAATACTTCTCATTGTATCATTCAACATAATTTGACGTCCTAATCAACATAATTGAAAGAAACCTAACTTTGTTTTTTTTAAAAAAAAAAATTCACACTGGTTTCATGTGTCGTTTTGCTAAAAAATATACAACAAAAAATTTTAGAAAAATAATTAAGTTTCGAGGATTAAATGGTTCCACAAATTGTGTCGGCATACGTCTTTATAGCCATACAGCACCAAACGACGGTGGGCGTTGCATATTTAGCCAACCGACCCTTTAAGTTTTCCAAGCGGTTTCTAAGCTAATATATACACAATCGCTTTTGTACTATTGGGGTTCTTTGCCACGTGGTATATTTCGCTGTCTGAAATATGCCGTTTTAGAATCGACCCTTCAATCGAAGGACGAGTAACTAATCAGACGAATACTTATCTCCATTAACAATGAAAACTAGTAATACATGCTGTACAAATTTCATGATATTTCTGGTTGTTCACTGCAACACAACCATGGATGAACAAGTTTCTTTAAAGCAAAAACTGAACTCGCCATTGAGCAGTTGTACTTGTACATATCCTACTAGAAAAATGCTTTGCTATTCCAACGTGCTTAAAGATGAACATTGCTTAGAGAAGTCCTCTTCTATCTGCCAGCTTCTAGGAATTTATGTAGCACATTGCCTGTGCTTGAAGGAAATAAGAATCCCTTGTATTTCCTGCCATTCCCGATGTGAATCCCATTGCGTGTCCAGTATTACCTTCACTATCCCATATCTTCACTATCTCAGTTGAGATAACACAAGAAGCAATTTGAGTAAAGACTGTTAACTGAACTATGGAGCATTGGCCAAAAAAGAAACATGGAGCACTACCCATATAAAGTGCAAAGTAGACAGCATCTTACTGCACGCATAATAAAATTAATATTAGCTTCACTATCTCATTCATTAACAATAGTATACATACGAGTGATCTAACCTCCAATCTCACATCATAAAAAGAAAAAGTCCACTTGATACAGATTATGCATTTTCTAACAAGCTGGAACAAAAAGATTAAAACTCGGTCAATGGCAGACTTACCTCAACAGTATCAATGGCTTCATTTGAAGGAATGCATGTAAGACTCTGCAAGTATATAAAAGAAGAGATAAAGATGATTTGGGTGCTGGAATCTCCTTCGGGAACTAAATTAGTACCACTGCATTTTTAATAGCACTAAGAAAAAGTCTATTATTCCGGAGACCAGTAAAAAATGGATGTCAATATGTTTCTTTTAAGTTACTCCACTAATCAAGGTAATAGATAATAAAGAAAGATGATTTGGATTAGAGCATTTGACCTAACCCAGGTTAGTGCTCTTCCAGCCAGATGCTTTACAATGTAGCCTTCAAATAAGCAGGTAAACACACCTACTTTTATAGGTAAGGATCCGAATAGTTAGCTAGAATGCTGAATTTCCAAAATACACATTTTTTTTATTCTTCAACATGTCTTCGTAGAATATCTTAACTGTCTATAATGTTAGCGAGAATCATATATGCTTTAAGTAGGAGGATAACAAATAGGGGAAGAGAGAGAGAGAGAGAGAGACAGAAACCAACCTCTCCTCCACAGCAGCAATTAACCCACCAGTTAAAGCCACTCCACCAATCTGAAGCACAAAACCAAGTTAAAACTTCAATTATTAAAAGATAAAAGCGTCTCATGAAGTCATGTGGTCTATACTTCTAAGAAACTCACCAATTATATCAATATTTTCATTAAAATATTTATTCAATGGTAAAAATTTTATCCATATTTTCATTTAATTGTCTATTTAAAAAAACCATAATTTTATTAAAAAATTTTTCTAAAATTTTCATATTATTTATGTAATGAGACTTTTTTACTTACTGGTTTTGATTTTTTATTTTAATTTTTATTTAATTGTTTTTTAAGCAAAGAATTTTATAAATTTTACCCAAAAAATTTTATGTAAATCGTTTTCTATGTAAGATCAAATGATTAGTAATTGGTGGTTTCTTCAGGTAAGAGATCAAACTCAACCAAAATATACTCAAAGTTGGGGAAATCTAATTTAGAGTACTACATTAATTTGATTAATGTTAATTTAATACCCTAAATATTTTCTTCAGCAATATTTTTGCATGTACTGCATCACAATTAATTCACAAACTCATTAAAAATCCAGGAACCCTTTCTGTATAAGAAAAAAAAAGAAAAATATTGATTGAAGAAAGCTATAGTATGTTGATAATGTTTTTGGTGAGTGTGACTCGGAGCTCAACTGGAAAGTGATTTAAAGGTGAGAGAGATATGCGGAAGAAGAGCATGGTTAAGAGGCGCCGAAAATAAGAAGTGCTTTCCTTACCTTCAGATCACCTATACGTCACACTCATAAAAAAATATCATCAACAAGTTTCATTAAAATGAAGGAAGCAAGCCATTGTAGTTGGAGATTGGAAACCCATTTCGACTGAAGTACAAAGAATTTTCAACCACTCTGACAAGAGAAGCACACCTCTAAAAAGAATCAAGCAAAAATAGAAAAGATCAACAAAAGCTAAAAGCAATTGACCAGAAATCCTTAGTGAAACAGTGTAACCTTTTATGTATTAAATAGATGATCTAAAATTAATTAATAGAAAATCTTAATCAAATATAAGGTCATTCTCAGCATTCTCAGCATAAACGCCTATGATCTAAAATTAATTAATCAAAAATCTTAATCAAACACTACTCAACATTCTTAGCAAAAACTCCCATGCTAGGGCTTAAGCTTTCCAGAATCACCTTTTAAACCGTGAAACAATGCCAATTTAGAACCTCAAATATTCTCCTCCCAATAAAAGGAACGCTTCCCCTACTGAATTAAGCGTTAGGCCAAAGAAATAATGACAATAATTTATAAACTCAGAGGAGACAAATGTAGGGTAGATTTGACAATCTACATTTCAAAAACCTTAAATTATAAAGCAAGAATCAAATGCACTAAAACTTAAGAATTCAGATTTATAGTTTGTTTATTCTCTAGAAAATCTTTGGCTGAAAAGTCGGGAAAATACCTTTGTTATGGACCCAAAATCTGTACTCTTCTAATAGTAGCCTTGACTCTGCAAGAAAAATTGTAAACCTTTAAATGAAGCTACCTTAGAGAAATTAGATAAACTTACAAGTATTTACAAGGAAAGTTACCATATTAAAGGTAGAGATTATGAACTTCACAAGCAAAATTAAAGAGTTAACACGTTTGCTATTCAGGTGCATTTATGAAAATTAATAAATAAATAAATTATTAAATGTACATCAGAACTATTAAATACCACTTTTGAAGTTTAAGAATTTCACTCTTGGTCTATAATATAACAATGCTATTTCCAATAAACTAAAACTATATATTGATAAGATAAACAAAACTCATTGCTTACCATATTACACGTGCTTGATGTTGTTCAAAAAATTCCTTTTGATTTTCTTAAGAATGGAAACAACATCCTTTATATCTTTTCTTTTCTCTGGTAACTCAACTGAACAGTCTAAAGCTAATCTCATAATGGATGATATACAATCAGCGTTAGCTATAAAATGTTCTTTCTCTTCTTGCAGCAAACTTAAATCCACAACATCAATTGTTCCATTAGATAGTAAATCTTCCATCCAACGAATCATAGTCATTTCTCCAGTGAAAAACTCATCTGTGGGCTTCTTTCTTGTGAAAGTTTCCATCAATAAAATACCATAACTATAAACATCACTTTTTGTGGAAACAATTCCTGTTGATCCATATTCTGCATTTTAAATATAATTAAATTATTAAAATGACATAATATGCTACATATTGTCATGCCATTAACATAAAAAATTTACAGAAAATGCAATTACAAATGTAGAAATAGAATTTTGAAAAAAAAAAAAAAAAAGTCATCACCTGGTGCCATATATCCTATAGTGGCAAGTGTCATGGTTTGTTTCACAGACTCTGCTTCTCCTAATAGTTTGGCAATGCCAAAATCTCCCACATGTGCAACCAAATCATTGTCTAGTAAGATATTACTAGGTTTTAGGTCACAATGAATTATTGGATTTGGATGTCCCAAATGGAGGTATTCTAGTGCAGATGCAACATCTATCATTATGTTGATTCTTTGTAGGATATCCAAGAAATAATGGTCAGAGTATAACCATTTCTCGAGACTCCCATTAGGCATGAATTCAAATACTAAAGCTTTGAAATCAATGCAAGAACAACCACTAATGATCTTGACAAGATTACGATGAAGTATATTTTGCATGACTTCACATTCAACATCAAAACTCCTAAAGGCTCCCTCTAACTGCAAATTAAAAACTTTTACCGCAACATTCCGCCCATTTGAAAGTCTTCCTTTATACACAGAGCCAAAACTTCCAGAACCAAGTAAATTACCTTCATTAAATCCATCTGTCGCTTGTAGAAGTCTGTTGTACATATTTCTATTCTGTATTTCTAGAATTGCTGAATCTTCTTTAATTGACAGAGAATTCATACTATTCTGGCATCTTTTTAAGATAATAATGAAGGTAACTACCAATATTAAAAAGCACTTGGTGGCAAAGCATATGTCAAAACATGCACAAGGGTCCTCTTGGATTATCGATGGCTGCTATTTTTGCAGGGAGGGACTTCAAATCTAGGTGAACCACAAAGTGCATAATGTTCATGAATGATTTTGCTGTGAAGCTTGTAAAGGATCCTTCAGTGGGGATTTCGCCTTCCAACCTGTTGAAAGCCACGTTAAATAACTGAGAGAGGAGAGTTTTTCCAAAGACTTTGGAATCATTCCAGAGAAATTGTTATTAGCTAAATCCAAGGTTTGCAAACTTGTCAAGTCACCTAATGATGTAGGAATAGAACCTTGTAGTCTATTATTTGACAAAGACAAAGTTTGTAGATCATTTAAACGCCCAATTGTTGCTGGAATATCACTTGATAATAGATTCCTTGATAAATTCAAATATGTAGCACCTTCAATTCCCAATATTCTGTGGAAAGTGAACCATTAAGGTAATTTGAAGAGAAATCTACTTTCAAGATAATTTAAGGCTCCAAAAGGTGAAGGGTATTGTTGAATACAATTTGTTGGAGGACAAGTTTAGAGATCTAGAAGCAGTCAAATCACCCAAACATGGGAGTATCGCGTCCTTCAAGCATATTAGCCACTCAAATGACAATTCACTCAGTTTCTCCAAACGACAAAATTGTCTGGAATAGAACCTTGTAATTATTTATCATCAAGATACAAACCTTGGATATTTCGTAGCCTTCCTATTGTTGTTGGAATTGATCCACTCAATTCGTTTTGAGAAAGACTTAAACGTACAATATTGTTTAAGCCACCAATTTCCATAGGAATACTACCTTCAATTTGCAGTCACTGGCATTGAAGACTTCAAGTGATGAGAGATTTGAGATAGAAGTTGGAAGAACGCCCTTTCAATGGATTGGAAAATATCCATAAGATCCTTAGATTCCTGCAGTTTACTAATGAAGAAAGAAAGCTCCATTCATTAGTTGGCTTTTGGTGGTCAAATGGTTTTCCGAAAGCCTTAAAACCTCAAGCAGAGTCAAATTGCCTAATGTGTTTGGAATAAAGCCAGAGAACGAGTTTTGTTCCAATTCTAAAACTCTGAGCTTAGAAGCATTAGAATATAATCAGGAATATTTCCACTGAGATTATTATTCCATAGATAAAGCCCCGCAAGATTTGAAGCCAAGCTCGTGGATGGTAATTTGCCTAAAATGAAAAAAATTTGTAATCAGAATTTTAGCTTACGTATATTATAGTAATTAAGGAAGCGTGATGAAGTTTTTGAACATTAATTGTAAATCCCAAATTTAACTTATGCATGTATTTATCTATAATTTATAACTTGTGCATGTAGTGGGTGTGTGCATATGAATATAATCACTGTTTTATACTCCAAAAATAAATTATGTTTAAAAAAACAATTAAATGTTGTTGAGCATATTACCTGACAGACTATTGTTTACCAGAGAAATTATTTCAATGAAGAAATGTTGAAGATGGAAGATGGAATTAGCCCTCTTAGCAGCAAATCTGATGCAGAAAATATCTCCAATGTAATAAGATTCCCAATCTCCCATGGAATTTCACCTGCAAACGTTGGAAAAAAACATTAAACCCAAGGAAACATCCCGTACTAATAAAGTTATATATTCATTAGCCAATAGCCACTAATCGATTGATAGAGTGTTGGACTCTTAATTTTAATAACTATAATTCAAATCTTAACAGCTTCAAATATATATATATATGTATATACATATATATATATATATATTAAGCTATAAATCTAGTTTGTTAATATTGCAATGATAATATAGAACTATTTGCAATCAAAATCACATTTCACAAGGAAAATCTATGTTTGTGGAGGAAGTTTTAGATTATAAAGGAATAATACATATAGAAAAGGAATGCTGAAAACCAAATAAAAAATATGGCTAAAAAAAAAAAAATCAAATGTAGAACTTTACCTTCTAAATCATTGTGACTTAGATACATATGCTTGAGCCTAGTTAAATTTCCCATATTTGTTGGAATAAGCTCAGTAAATCGATTACCATATATTGATACACTTCGAAGACTGCTGCATTCACCAATATTTGAGGGAATATGACCAAAAATACCATTGTAAGTTAAATCAAGGACTTCAAGTTTGTGAAGATGGGAACACATGTTATCAGGAAGACTACCAGACAAACTGTTGTTGTACAAAAAAACTGTCTTCAAAGAAGAAATGTTGAAAATAGAAGCTGGAATTTGACCATTGAGGCTCATGTTCTCCACAACAAATGTTTCCAAAGAGAGAAGATTACCCACTTCCCAAGGGATCACACCTACAAATTTAGTAAAAACCAAGCACTTGAAAGACCTCATTAATATATAAAAACTATTTTATTAATATTTCAATTCATAAATCACAAAGAGAACTAGTTGCTTCTTGTTCTATGCAATTATAATGTAAATTAATTAAATTTAATTAAAAATTATGTAAAAAAACCTATATAAATATTTATTTATTTATTCTCGTTAAAGAAAAGAAAAATGAAGCTATATCATCATTAGCATAAATTAGAGGATAGGTTTAGGGTTTAGGGCTACATATATATATATATATATATTGTTATTTGCTATTTCTTCTCAAAGAGTTAATATAAAAACAAATTGTAAAAAGAAATATAATAATTATTAAAATTCTAATTTCAATTCGAATATAACATGTATAACAGTAAAATTATAATTTTTTATGTTAAAAAAATTATAACCTTAATTATTTTTATTATTCAAGATTATTATTTGTTTTAATATTCAATATATAATTCCAATTCGGATGTAATTACAATTAACCCATGTAAATTAATTAAATACTTTTCTTTTAAATAAAATATATATTTAAATTGTAAGAAAAAAACAACAAGAGTGCAAAAAAAAAAAAAAAACCATTAAAAAGAGTAAAAACTAAACCAGATAATAATGAGATTATAAAAATAAAAAACCATAGGAAGTAGCTTACCTTCTAAGTCTTTTTCACCCAAATAGACTGTTTTGAGCTTGGTCAAGTTTCCAATACTTGTAGGAATGAACCCACTGAATTGATTAGAGGATAATATTAATTCTTGAAGATTGCTACATTCACCTATATTTGAGGAAAAAGGACCAGAAAATTCATTGAGGTATATGTTAAGCAATTCAAGTTTTTGAAGATGTTGACACATATCATTTGAAATACCACCAGATAAACTATTGTTTATGAGATAAATTTCTTTCAAAGAAGAAATGTTGAAGATGGAAGCTGGAATTGGACCAGTAATGAGCCATGCATCTTGTACGGATAACGTCTCCAAAGCAAGAAGATTACCAATCTCCCAAGGGATTTCACCTACAAACATAATAAAACCAAGTTTTAAGATGATCTTTTGTATCATTAAAGCTTTTTTACTAACCATTACAATTTATAATGAAACTATTTGCCCCAAATTTATGAAATTATAAACAAAACTAATTAAAATCATAGGAGAGAGAAAGAAAGAAGAAAACAACCCAATGATTTAGAGCTTGTTTGGATGAGGTTTTTCTGTTTGGTGAGGTGCAGAACCGCACCAATATATAGGCTATTTCACAAATCAAATATCAGAACAATTGAAACATTTTAAATGCACTGAAGACAAAAGAATCCAGTCAGAATTTTTTATCTCCATCAAATGTCACCTTCTTAGAAATGTCTCAGCTTTGGATCCATATCATTTACAATTTTCTTCCTTACAATATTATAATTAGTCAATTACATTCAAGAATTATGTAAAAATTCATTGTTTAAAAGTGTGAGCTCTACATAATTTTTTAATAGGACCCACGCAATACTTAATTATGATTAGTTAATTATAAATATAATAATTTTAAATACGATATGATGACACAATACAAAAATAATACAAAAAAATCATATATAAATTTAGTATAATCATGTTTCGTACACGATTAAGATACAAATGTTTAACATGAACACGACAGGAATAATATTGTGCCTTAATCGTGTTGAAATGATTAAGATACGAGATTATTCGTATTGTATTTATGTCAAATAATAATTATACACTTAAGACACAATATTGTTCATAACATAAAAAATTTTAAATTATTTTAATTTATTTAAAAAATAAATTAATAATTATATTTATCATATCATTTTGGTGTTTAAATAGATTATAAATATTCAATTTTTAAAATTTTTTTTATTTAAATACTAGTTTATATGATATTTTTTGTTTAAATAAATAGATTAATAATGTCTAATCATGCTATTCGCAAATAATTGTGTTAATCATATCTATCATATTATTTGAATAATTAATTATATTTAATCGTATTATTCTTATATAATTGTATTAATCGTGTCGTGTTATTTAGGTATAAATTAATTTTAAATGTATTAATCGCATCATGTCACATATAACATGTATAATAAATATGTTGTGTTTGTGTTTAAATTGTTTATGTCATTTAAGTATTCATGTCATGTTCGTGTCAAGATTATTCGTGTCGTATCTAAAATCATGTTTAACACAAAACATAATAACATGAATTATCAAATCTAATTAATTGCACTACAGGAATTATAGATATGCTCCCTTTCTCTTTTTTTTTCTCTAATTTTTTTACCATTAGAGATACAACGCAAGGACAAAAATGTCCCTATCACTTAGCATTTTTTATTTTTTATTTAAAATTATTTAAATGACTAAAGTAATTTAACATAAATAAAATTTATATTTATGTAATAAACTATTTAACAACTAAATAATGTTTTTGGTCAAAACAAGTAAATAACTAAAACTTGAATAAGTACGTAAATAATAAATTCTATAATCAAACAAATTATTAATAGATTAAGAAAAATATATATCTTTGAAATTAATGAGTAAAGTAATATAGATAACAACATAAATAATAATAAATAAATATGATTTATTTTTATATGAGTAAATGTATTGTTATCTTTTTAATAAATTATTGTTATTTTCATATAAAAATTATCATATAATAAATAAATAAATGCAAAAATAATAAACACTTTAATATTATTTTGTTAAGTTTCAATTTGTTTAATAATATTCTTATCAATTTTTTAAAGATTTTTTATATAGTATTATCATTTTCATTAATTTTCTTTTTTTTATGAACAAAACTATTAATTGATATATAAATATTTTAATAATTTATTAATTTCATAAATGTGAAGTATATTAAAATTTTCATCATATGTAAATTTTAATCTAATATGTTTAATAATCATTTTCTCTTTTTTTTACAATTTACATCATTGTTATAGTTGTGTTTGCATCCAAACATATATCTTATCATTAATTTTAATTTTATCGTTACAATATCAAATCTAACTACTACAATAATTAATCTTACCACGATTATTATTTTCAATCTTATCGTCCATCTAAATAGATCATTCCTACAAGGCAACTCCATATTTAAGAGGGTTTAGATAAATTTTTAAAGCTTATTGGGAGGGTTGCAAGACAATAAAATGAGGTGGTTTAAATTTTGCTTTAGATTTCTTTATATATATATATATATATATATATATATATATAAAGCTTTAACTTGCTAGTACTATCCGATTCATTAATTATCGTATATACGTAAAAAATATAATGTCTTTGCCAAAAAAGGATAGCATATGTATAAAAAAAATAATATTATAAATATTTTTTAAATTATAGTAAAATATTTAATATAATATTTAAATTTTAAAAATTTTTAATGTGATACTTAAATTATAAATTTATTAATTAATATGATATTTAAATGATTATTTGTCACTCATGTGTTACATTGAAAGCTAAAGATTTTAATAATAAGTATTATATCAGTTAATAAATTTATTTTTTATGTATCACATTAAAAATTTTTTAAATTTAAATATTATATTAAATATTTTATTATAATTAAAAAATCATTCGTAACATTAACTCTATGTAAAAATAGAATTAGATATTTATATTTTAAAAATTTTTATGTAGAAACGAAAAAAAAAAGCTCAAAAAGTAGAAAATGAAACAAACTCAAAGCTTAAGCTAGTTGTTACATACAACAACTGCAAAAAAGTGATATTTAATAACTTTGAGAATTAAATCCCACTATCCAACACTTGCAATCATTTTTTATCTCAAATTACAATTTTTTTAATTAAAAAAAACCATGTATAAGCAACAAACCCAGGAAGCTTTTTAGAGGGTTTTTCCTCCATAGCAGGCTAGTGACTCTCTCCCGACTCCACCCACAAACCCACTCTCCATGTTACAGATTAGTTGATAGTTATCCCGTTCGAATTTTTAGTCTTTATGGTAAAATTAGAGGCTCCTATATAGTAAAAATATAGTAAATATGATCTTTATTCGCACGTACTAAAAAAATCTGTTGATAGAAATTTTAAGTTAAAAAATGAAAAAAACAAGAGCAGACAAATATAAGCTTAAAAATCAAGCTTAGAATCTTACCTTGGAAACTATTTCCACCCAGATATACAACTTTAAGTGTAGTTAAATTTCCAAACCATACAGGAATCTCTCCATTAAAAGAGTTTTGACTCAGATCAATGAGTTTCAAGCGATGCAACTTGGCCATCTCTTTGGGTAGATAGCCATGCAAATTATTGCCACTCAAGTTAAGTGAGACCAGGAAAGAGAGATTTCCTAAATGTGGAGCGATAGTTCCAGTAAGATCCATGTCTGAAAGATCCAAGACGGTGACTCTTCCATGGCGTGCACTGCAAGAAACACCGATCCAATGGCAGACTGAGCTATTGGTGGACCAATTGCTGTCCAGAAAATTGTGAGGATCAATGATTTGGTCTTTGATTTCAAGAAGCGCAGACTGATCATTGGTGAGATTAGTCACAGTCTTACTCCTGGCAAAGCCAACCATGAAGCAATGCATGATCAGCAACATCGAAAGAAGATGGAATTTGATTTTGTCCATCATTTTTCAAGCAAATAGAAGGAGCAAAGAAATTTAAAATTGCTGGAATGGTAGGATCGATGATTAAAAATGCAAGTCATATATAAAACATTGTTTAAATAAGCTTTTCCAAATTCCCCCTTCAAAGGGACCCATTGGAATTACAGCTCATCAGCACCCAAAAAAATCTCTAAGCATATGGTATTCATTTCACTGGCAAAAAAGATCCCAAGTCTTCCAGGATAAAGACAAACGTCAATATGATATTGACTACTGAAACGGAGACCCAAACGGTGGAGTGACAAAAAAAATTTAGCACTTACCCAACGTTAGTGACAGAAACCATACTTTTCAAAGATGCCCGCTAAAATAAAATAATAATAATAATAATAACTCTAAAAAAGTAAGTGATAATTAACTCAAATAAATCGATTGAATTTTAAAATAAAGAATTGGTCACCGTTAGATTTTTAAAGGTTTAATGTGATATTTAAATTTTAAAAATTTTTAAGTTGATATTTAAATTATAAATAAATTAATTAAAATAAGAATTATTTTTAATATAATAAATTTTAAATAATAATATGTTATGGATAAATAATTTTTTAAATATTATATTAATTAATAAGTTTATTTAAAATTTATGTATTATATTAAATATTTTATTATAATTTATAAGTTATTTATGATATTAATGCAATTAAAAAATATGTATTTATAATTAAAAACTAAAATATTCGTTTCCAACAGTATAAAACGAATTGGTCCTAAACTTTTGTAATTACTTATTCATATTAAAAAATTCAGTTATAAGGTGTAATTAATATTTTTTTACACCTTTTTTACATAATACTATTTCTTTTTCTTCACACAATGAAATTTATAATTGCTATAGATGCCCACCATCTTTTATACAAAATTTACAAATTAATTGATGGTAAAAAAGCCTTGGTAGTATAAAATTTTACTTACATATTGTTGATCTATATTATATGTTTTTGCTGAGCTAGCAGTAGCTTTTAATTTTGTGCATCCATTGTGATCTACTTAGAAATCATTTCCTAACGACATATCGGAAATTTATGCAATTTTGAGTGGAAGCCTAATCCTCTGATGTTGGTTGTGTTAAGCGAGTCCAAATCCAAGAGGGGTCCAGTGGACTTGTCCGAGTGTTAATGGCTAGAAATTCAATGATGACGGTTCAGCTAGGGCAAGCCTGGTCTGCTGCGTGTGGAAGGGTTTTAACAGATTCGAAGGGGAATATTCATGGTTTCTTCTACGGTCTGCTTGGTGAAAATTTTGGTCATTCAAAGAAGATAGTACCCTACATTAAAAGGAAGAGAGAAGATTGAAGTTCAAACCTTAATTTTTATATTTTCTTTAAGATTATCTTGATGACTAACTAAGCAACTAAAGACGGTGTGCTTGATGAAAATGTAACTGAAATATTGGCTATAAAAACGACACTTAGAGATATTTTCTAGTTTCCCTTGGTTTAAAAAGAATGCTTTTATTGTCTAACTAGATTTGTATGTGTTCATTAGTTGCGTGTGTAATTGGTAAGCTCGGCCTTGGAAACAATGGAAGATCTTCGAGGCAATTGATAGGGGTACAACAGTAAATTTAATTTTTTTTACTTTCTAGATCATTGAATAATAATTATTAGATATAAAAAATTAATATAAATTATTAATTTTTTTAATGTAAAATAATTAATTATTTATTAATCTGTTAATTAATTTAATTCATTACATTAAATATTATTTATTAAATAAAATAAATGAAATTTTTAACAAATAAATACAATCTATTTAAAAATTTTTAAAAAGAGGACAAGATAATATAATATTAAAAAATTTTAATTGAAAATTAGTTAACGTAAAAAGTGAAAATTAACGTAAAATTGATATCATTTGGTATAAAATATGTTAAAAGTGTTATAATACCCTAAAGAGAGTTATGATAATTTTAAATGTAATGAAAGTAAAAACAAGCGTAAAAAATATTATTATAATGTAAATAATTAAATTGACAACGTAAAAAAATTATTATCTTAAATCCAAAAAATCATTATAAACCAATAAATAAATATTAACGTAAAAATGTGAGAATAATCGTAAAATTGGTATCATTTAAAGTAAAATGAATTAAAAGTATCGTAATATTATAAGAAAAAGTTATGATATTTATAAACATAATGAAAAGTAACAATGGATATAAAATGATATTATTGTAATAAAAATAATGAAGTTAGTAATGTAAAAGAAATATTATTATAAATAAAAAATAATAATTTTAAACCAAAAAATAAAAGTTAATGTAATAAAGTGAGAATAATCGTAAATTAATATTATTTAATATTAAATAGTTACAAGTGTCGTTACACATTAATAAATATATGATAATTCTAAACGTAATTAAGTAACAAGTGTAAAAAAAAAATTATTTTAACGTTATCATAACAAACAGATCTGAGAACTTACTGTTAGATATGGATTAGAGAAATTGTCATCAATTTTTTTTGTTAAGATGTGATTGGTCACCTGATTGAATCTGATCTATAAAACCGGATTTAGGTTTTGAGAATATTGTTATGTATAAAGAAGGTTATAGCATTCTCACAGCACCTATCCAAAAATGATACCAATTTAATTTCAATTATCCAAGCCTTAAAAAATGTTTATGCTTTACTAAAATATTAAATATTAAAATTAGTCTTAAAATTACTCAAATAGTTTGATAGCAATTTAAGATAATTTTCTCACACATAAGTATTCATGGAGACTAGTAGTCTACCTTGAAAAGACTCTATCATTGGATTTATTAATGTATTTTATTCAAAAAAAATTAGTAAGTCTCCCAATAGTTTGGTAGGACTTACCTTGTGGCAGATCTCTCAATAATTTGGTGAGATTTTATTGTAAAAAAATATTTGCAAAATTTCATTTTATTTTTTTAGAAAGTTCATTAAATCTCTCAATAGTAAGGCTTAATTTAAAAGCAATCTTCTAATCGTTTGGAGGATAAAAATTATTTTTCTCATGTCTGAAATCTATTTATGAAATTTTTCAATAGTTTGGTGGATTTAATAAAATTAAATTCATGAAAATTTTTCAATAGTTTGGTATGATTTATGAACTTATTTGAAAAAGTTTTTTTTTTTGTTTTTCTTTATATTATTTTTTGTTGTTTTCTAGAAATAAAATTATTTTTGCTAAATATTTAACAAATGATAAGTTATAAAATAAAATAAAAACTCAAAATATAAAATATAAAATAAATAAAAATAAAAACTTACGATTGGGTCAGGTTGGACCGCGGGTCAACATGCAGATTCTATTTGGGTTACACGTAAGTCTGGGTAAACAAAAACGATATCATTTTGAGATGGGTGTCGTTTTGATATGGGTATAAAAGCCAAGTTCCCATGTGTTTCTTTAAAAGCCTAGTCTCTTCTCTCTCTAGCCTCCAAACATTCTGACCCCTCTCTAAAAAAACTAAGAATGTTCAATCAAAAATTAAAAAAATCCATCGATTTCTGAAAAAAATGGTCGAAATTTGACCAAAAACCCAAACTTCGTTGAGAAATTCAACCAAAACTTTCAAACATTCATTCCAAAACCTAGATTTTTCAGAAAAACCAAAAATTTTTCAAATTTTTCTAAAATCTTCAAAATTTTTCTAGAAATCTAAAACCTCAAGCCTCAATGCTCCAAATCAAAACTAGAAACCCAAACTAGAATTTCAAATAAAAAACTTCAAAAACCAAAATTTCAAAAATCAGTACCAAAAAGAATTCTCCAGAACTCCAAACATAAATTTCTCACCAAAATCGATCATGTTTTGTTCTCTGTAATATTGTCTAATTTATATATAGTCTATAGTAGGATTTTAGAGATCAGATAGAATCATTCCAGGCTTAAATCCTGGGATTAATTCTGCCCAAGCAAGATTTTAGGCTAGGTTTGAGCAATCTGTCTAGATTTGAATCCAAACCCCTGATTATGGAATAGAACCTTTAACTATCTAGATTAAATTCAGTTTTCAATTTCTTAAATCTACAATCACAAATTGAAAGAAATGAAAGAAGGAAAAAAAATTTTAAAAAAAAATAATATAATAATATAATATAGTTAGTATAATATAATATAATAAATATGATATAATAATGATATAACATGATATAATAAGATATAATAACCATAATGTAGTATCTTACAATATACTATAATATAACATATTATATAATAATACATTATAATATACTATATAATACTATACCATAATAATATACTATAATAAAAAAAATCAATGGTTAACCCTGGATACAGATGGTTATTTATAGTTGCCCCTCTTTACACCTCTCTGTTAGATAGGATGATGCAATGACTTGGACATCCATTATGTTCCTATCTAAAAATAAGAGTTAAATCAATGAGTGATAATAACCAGAATTAAATCACAAGTCAGATGGATGATCTGGACCGACTGAGATTAAATGATGGATTGAACTGTAAGTCAAGAAAATGATCTAGACGGAGCGAAAATCAAACAATCGGGATTGAACCATGAGTATGGATAAACTGACCTAAACTGAGTCGAGATCGAACGACCTAGATTGAATCATAAGTCTAGAAAAATTGACATGGACAGAGTTGAGGTTGAATGACCAAGATTGAATCCCGAGTCTTGATAACCAACCTAAATTGAGTTAATGTCAGATGACTGGGATTGAACTGCAAGTCTAAATAATTGACCTCAACCGAGTTGAAATCGGAATGATCGAGATTGAGTAGTAAGTCTGAAAAAACTAACCTAGATCAAGTCAAGGTTGAACGACCAAGATTGAATCGTGAGTTGGATAACTAACCTGAACTGAGTCAAGATCGGATGATCGGGATTGAACCGCAAGTCACAAAAATGATTTAGATTGAGCTGAGATCAAAACGAGTGATGAATGATAATGTAATGATGCAAGTACATGCTCTATCCAAGATGCAAATGAAACATTAATTATGGTACCAAGGCTTTAACAACTTTTTTTTGTATTTAGGATGTTTCTTGC